TTTGTACATCACCAGCAAAGGTTCTGAAATCTGAACTTTTAGAGAATTCTTTTCAGTTCATTTGAACGCTTCTCATTGATTAGTTTGTATGACTGAAAAATAATGATTAGTGATAATGTATTGTGGATGTTAATTTGCATTTCAACTAATACATTTTTCTACCTTTCTGAAAATGATTTCAATGTCATTTTTTACAGTACGTATTATTTCCTTTACAGATTCCTATTCAATTGATTGTGAGAAATAGCGGTACCGGAACGTCGAGTACATTCGCTGGTGTGGATCTGATAGTGCCGAATGGATTTGGTAATCACTAGTAGTGGAATTTACTCGAACTGTTTTCAATATTCAGCGTTTCCAATCGATATTGTATCTGTGTTGTTGTAAGTAGCATAGAAATTGGGACAATATGGAAATAGAGAACAGTGAAATTTCGTTGATCGTATCTTAGCTTTTATCGTTATTGTTACTGAAGAAATGTGTACTCTCCATTTGTAGGTATGGAATTTTGGCTAGCACTTCAATACGGTACTGCACACGCATCTGCATTACGCGATCAGAAAAGCACTGAATTCGAATCGAATCGCTTCAATTTTCCATCGGACATTCCAGACTGTGATGCTGGTAGATGTGAGGTCAATGATGAACGTGATGAACTCATTGTGAGCACTTTCAATCATTTCATAGCGAATGATCTGTATTATGTGAAATATAATGGATATTGATCACTGGTAGACTGAAGATTTCTTCTTTATGAAAGAAAGAATTTTAATTCAGAAGAAATATCTCTCAAGACCGCATAATCGTCGAGTTAAATATTGGAGCTCATTACGGGTGAAATATCCGTTCAGTTTTGAATGGTCTTCACTTGTTCACGAGTGGCTTGATTCAACGTCGTCTCGTCAAACTGATTCTAAAACGAACCCTTCAAATGATTTTTATGTCATCAGAGATCGACGGCAATTGCTCGTCATTGATAAATGGCTCAGTAGTAAAGTGCCGTTGCCAGGTGATTGTTTTGGATTGTGATTGCAGTATTTTTTTACAGTTTACTGAATTTGTAATTCTGTCAGAACATATAGATGTATTCATCAGTTTCTCAGTATCGCTGATAAACCAATAACTTCAGATGATATAGTCAAGCAGAATCAGAAGGCACTTGTTCCGGTACGATTAGATGTCCTAACAACGGGTCGCCCGCAACGTTTTGCACTGATTTGTGCACCATCTGATGATGATTTCAGTGCGATTATTAAGTGGAATTCCAATCGAGAAACTGTTAAACTGGAAGAAGTGGAACCTGAAAGTGTCAATAAAACTGAACACGAAATTGAAGAAGAGGATGAAAAGGTCACTGGATTGATGACGGAATAATGAATTCACATTAATTTCGTTTTATTTTCGTGAAAAATATTCATTTGTTTAATTGTGATGAATCATTGAATTGACATCTTCGAATTATATTAGTTTTATTTTGTGATAAGTTCGATGAAAGTTAATTGCGTAGTTTCAGGAGGAGGAGAAGGAGGAAAATAAGGTCGGAATGGAGGAGGGTTTCATTGAAGTGAATTGTTTGAAGAAAGAGACACCGATCTCTTTGAACGCACTTTTTCCTGATAAAGCGATTTTGAGGTGATGATGTCAAATGATCACTTTATTTCTCATCGCTAATCGGATTTTAGCCTCAATTTATTGTTTGCTAATTCAGTCGGTTAAAATGCGATCTTCTTTGTGGTTCAAATAATCCGACTGTTCTGTTGTAATTTGTGATTATCAAAATAAACTAACAATTTATCGATTTAAAAATCGGCTTTAAATGTAATAAAGTAATGTTTCATGTAGAAATCAAAAGCGAATAGCGGTTAAAAGGTTGAAACGTCAAAAGTGGAAAGCTGCAAAACGACGTCGGAAGGATGTTGTTGGCAGTGAGAAAACGACAGATGAGAGCGGTAGTTGGCAAGATGGCGTGCAAAATTCGTTGAATAAAGTTGCGGATTTCGATCAGTCAGAAAATATCTCATATAAGGAAAGTTGTTCAAGGTAAAACCATTCGTGTTATCATTTGCCATTGTCAATTCGGGTAGTAAAATTGACGTGTTTTTTAAAATTTATCGTTAATGGATTCAATTTTAGTATTAATTTACGATGTTTTGAAAGTGTTTAGGTGAATTTCAAAGCAATAGCGTTGGAGACTCAATTATGTTACTTTTTAAGGCTTATTATTGGTCGGGTTGTTCGAGGTGATTATTCGTTTTGCTCAGCGAAGGGTCGTGCGCTTGG